CAAGCTCTTCCCTGAACTCAATCTGTTCTGATACAAGCGGCAAGCAGTCAGATGGCATGAAAATTAGTTTCCAATTGATCTTCTGTTCTGGGAGTAAAGTCAACCTATACTGAAAAGCCGAGAAACTGCGTAGCTGTCTCACTTTTACTTGGAGCCATTAGCGGTGCGCCCGATAAGTGAAACTTCCACCTGTGAAATGGTCACTCGAGGAGCTAGTCAATACGTGACCACGTGATGTGGTTTCTATGATTGGAGAATGAGTGGCGCGATATCCGGTCTGAGCGAGAGCTAGTCATCCTCCTGCTCAGGGGCACGTGGCTGAACGATTGTGTTCGAACGACTAGCGGGTCGAGACTGTTGAGTTTCGTGAGGTGCGCATTGCGGATGAATTTCAACAATGATGAAAAGGTTGTACAGTAGTTCTCGGCATTTCAGCATAGACTGGCTTCAGTCATGGGGCGAAATATCCTCACACCTTCACCAAACAATAAATTTTCGTGTTTACAAATGCCTACTAGAAAGATTTATAATGAAGCTTGGTAACACCGCAAAAAAGGTAACAGGAGTGGAAATCTTACGCAAACAAGCTCACACTTAAGACGAGGGCTCAAGATGCACATTTGCCTATCAGCATCATCGTTGACTGGTTCAAACACTTCCAGACACCTTCCTTTGTCTGTGTTTGCTGAAGAACAATAGCCCATTCAGAACATAGGAAATGGCGTAATAAAATTGTTCTCTTTGGGATTTTTTTAAGGAAAAAACCCTTCCAGCATGTTTATGCACACGATATGGAATACTTGAGCTGTCTAGACCCCCCACAAAAAGTAACCAAGGCTCAGTAATTAGACAAAATTAATAAAGTTACCTATATGTGAGTTTTCTGCGCTCTTCGAACGGTCCTCGCATTGACTTTGTATCGGACTTTAAAGTGTACATGAGGAAGTTTTGCTGATTCGTTTCAAAAATTGCGTGAAATTGCGCGTCAAATAAGGGAAGCGGCTGTGTAATTGTTGGAGGCATGCGAGGACAATCTGGTAAACTTATAGCTTTCGTTTCACTACTGGTCAAGAGCCAAGGAAGCAGTCAAACTACTATTATTTCTGCATACCAACAAAAAATGTTCACTTGGTGCTCAAATTCCGCTCACATTTGTTGCTTTAAATCAACTAGATTAAACCATGTGGTCAATCATCTTCAAGTCTGGTGCACATATCACTAATTACCACTCAGTTTCTAGTGTTCAAATGACTGCATGTGTTTCATTTGCAAATTGCTTTTCAACGTCTACATCCGTATTTCACGATTGGTTGCTTGAATAAGAGACATTTCTGGGCTTCATTTATCTAATAGTACGAACGAACTCACTTTGCTTCACTCTGCTTCTGATAACGAACTCATTTTAGCTTAGTAGCAATCCAACTAACAGCGTAGGATGAAATTTGAGACGATACATGGTCCGTTTCTACCTTTGAGCTAGGCGATCGGTTTACAGTGAACGAGAGGAAAGGATCGATTGCAGCGAGAAAACAGTATGGATCGTAGCTGGGTTTGCACTGAAAGCGTGCATCACGTGTGAAAATGACCGTAAAATTATCCCTGTATCTTTTCTCATAAAAAAAGTTCAAATTTGAAAACCAGCAACAGTTAAGCGTCTGTGTGTTTCCGGAGGCGGTTGCTAATAAAAAAATACTCTTTTGCTCTCGGATCTTTTCTCAAAAAAATTTCAAATTTGAAAATCAGCAACAGTTAAGCGTCTGTGTGTTTCCGGAGGCGGTTGCTAATAAAAAAAAACTCTTTTGCTCTCGGAAGTCCTTATTTTATGTGTTCTAAATCTAGGTATTGTAGAAGGGTAGGACAACTTTTGCAGGTAGAAAGCAGTTTGAGTGACATACTAGTCTTTCATGGAATAAATCTAAAATGTGTTTGGCTTTGCTATGGATCATTAGGCATTCGCTGGGCATGAACTCGCATTTTCCCACATTTGGACACATCCTATGAAACATGCATGTTAACATTAAGCCAGCCCACAAATCGAAGCATCGAAGTGACTTCGCATCAGTTTCTATTTCATTAGGAAACATTGTATAGCGTTCACCCGTTTTGTTCAAAAGCCTTACTTAAGTACCCAGCTGAGCGCACGTATTCTCACACATATCAGCCTTTTCGAAGGTCTGTACCCCTCCAAGATTTCAACTGGGGTGCTTCATGCAGCTGCCAGAGGCTGAAGTTGAGTCAGATTATTTTCTTGAGGGAAACTATTTACAAGGTTTCTGAAAGCTCCTCGGCTGCCCACGGCCGGCTTCATCCTTCTTGGGGCTTATCAGGTAGGCGCAGTTCCGTCAAACGTATGCTCTGCTTGAACGCGAATCTTACGAAATTCGTCAAATATTCTGAGTTGCACCCTACTGGCTTTTCTAAACACTCGTGTTTAGTTTCCCTCAATAAAATATAATGCGATATCTCGAATATTGTACCAATATCATACCAACTGAAAAGTGTCACAAACGAGGGATTCTGCTGGGGTTCAGTTGAGTCTTCCGTTAAAACCAATGCGATTTGAAAACGAGTGATTGTAGGATCTTACTAGTTGACATATATTATTTTACCCCCGATTGGGAAAACCCCAATCACATGCCAGAGACTACCGAATTCTGGTTCAGACGGGTTTTTAGACATCGTATCGATTTGACATGTTTTGTCATATAGAGGAAGCAGAGTTCCTATTCTGATTGGTGGTAATTTTCACCCCTACAATATTACTTAACAAGAGATGTGAATCTACAATTTACGGTGGACAATATTTCAGAAGTGGCTTAGCCCTTTTGTGGTACGGTGGCCAGGGTGATTGACCTTTTTGAGCTAGTGTCTTCTGCATTCCAACTGATTACTTGAAGCTTAGAGACATGTTTAAAATTAATCCAAATTAGTTCTATCAAGGAAGTACCGGCCGTTTATGGGAAAACTATGCTTATGACACAAGTCTGTGGTAGGAAAACCGAAACGTCTAGCTTTAGTGATAATCGATCTGATCAATATCACCTTTCACGGACTATTTCACATTACAAGCACCTACTTGCATAGCTATCAAACCGCTTTCAGTCAACAGTGTTTGGAAAGTTGGCAAATTATGTCTTTATTGAAGTTCCTATTTATTTGAACTGATAGCCTCATTTTTTGAAACTTGTATCCCATTATTAATTTTGCACCAGGTGCAAGGGTATCAAGCAGTTCGCCAAGAAACACCCCGCTGGACAGAGCGAAGTCTGTCGAAGTGGATCAAGGACTAAATTCACCTCATTAAATGACGTTGTCACTTGGCAAATACTAGGATTAAGAACGATGCAGCAAACCGACTTGTTACGGTTTCTCTCAGGCTAAAAGTTTCGCCTCCTGAAAATACAATAAAAGAGGGTGATATTCCCATAGAGGAGTAAGCGGAATTCCTATCCTAAATGATATCAGCAAAGATTTCATCGCCCAGGTTAGTTAACACCCCAACTAATGAATCAAAGCTATAAGCATTGTAAAGATCTTTTACTTGACGTACTTTTTGCCATCATAAGAGTAAAATTTGCACAGCTTTTGATTTCTCACTTTTCGGCGATTTCTAGTGGAATCTTGAAGTGATGCTTTTCATACATAGATGCAATAGCCTCAGATGAAGCTGTTGGAAGGTCGGTAACTATTTGAATCAATCGAAGGGATTCGCATTCCTAATGGTTTCAACTACGAATTTGAAAGAAAGCCGACGGTTCTTACTCTTTTATCTCCAGATGCCTAGCGTTTACCTCAACATAGAACGATCCCTTCGATACCAGTGTGAATAGGTTGAACCTAACTTGATCAAAATACAATGTCTGCTGATTTACAGTTAAGTCCTATTTTGTGGTTAACCATTGTCCAATTTAGTGACCGGCCTTATGAAAAGTTCTACTTCGCTTTTTTACATTGTCGCAGAGAGCAGACGAACCTCTGCTGACAGTGGTAATCGTCGAAGCGAACGCTCTGTGATTCTTAACTGTGGCAAGCTCCTACGCTACAGGAAGCCAAAACCACAGCAGGTCAACAGTACTGCCACGTGTTTGGTTTACACAAAACCCGAGCGTTTTGCAAGAAAGCTCTGCTGGGCACAAAATACCCGAAATTCTCTTTTCAACACGCCCCAGAGAATGTTACAAATTGTTGGAAATAAGAAGTGGTTTGGGAACTTTACCGAAGATTTCGTCCTGTAAGTGACGTCAGTCTATGTTGAAAAGCCGAGAAGCAGTGCATAGCTGGTCCATACTTATCGAGAATCATCGTCTCACAAAATTCCAGTCTCGAACCCGCGACCTCTACGTAATGTGATCCCGTTATTCGCTCAGCTGATCATCCACTCGTGTAAGAGCTGTTAGCTATTCAAACTATTAGCAACGAGGTCGCGGATTTGAAACATTCTGTAATTTCGTGAGATGGTCGCTGCTGACGATTCCCAATAGGGATGAAACGGCTGCACAGCGCTTCTAATCTTTTCAACGTACATGGGCTTCACCTACAGGAGAAATGCTATGAATATTGGAATAACTGTGACAGTACCCTGTACTTTCCACAGGGTGCTTTAGATCCGATTCTGATAAACAACCTAGTTGAACTTCTTATGTTTTGCGAAGTTTTTGCTGCTGAAGTCCTTACGATATCCCCTTCCAGACGGTAACCCGTACGATAAGGCAGATTGCAATAAGAACTCAAGTCGTGGACTAATAACCGTTCCGACTTCTATTCGGAACACCAGCAAATTCCGGAGGTAGATTGATGCGAATTCACCTTGTGAGAATATCACTAGTATTGTCATCATCATCATCATCATCATCTTCAACTGTAAAAAGAGCGTAAATATTGTACTGTGGTTAAAACTGCCACAGTTTCCTTCGCACGATTTGGGGGAATATGGATGGATAGATGCGCGTTGTTACGCAATGTGTTGACATACGGAGAAACAAACGGTCGAAATTCACTTTGCTTTGTATATTTATTATCCGGTCATTGTCGGCCAAACTTCCAGAGTCTGGGCTGTATGTGTATGACAAGGCTTATACAAGTTAAACGATGCTTCAAGTAAAGAAATAATGGAAGATAGCATTGCATGCTGACCAAAGGAAGCCTGTGTCTGTCACTGATTGGTTTGCGTTCCTAACGTGAATTAAAAAAAAGGATAGCGGGGAGCATAGCAAAAAGGACATAGTGAATGAGCCCAATCATTGTAGGAGGAAGGTGTAAGTGTTTTCTTAGGAAGGGTAATTCTGTACATTTTTAGTGATAAAAGTGCATATATGTGCGACATGGGGAAGCCAAATGCAAATAGCTGTTTTCAGTTGCACCGTAAGAGCGCGGTGTGAAATGCACAGTATAACTTCGATGGAAGCACATAAGAGGCATAGATACAAATATCTGGTTGTCTGTCATCGGGCTTGAAAAGGAGCCTTTAGTAGTATCCGTTCTGAAATAGAGTAAAGACATTGGATTAGATCATTGGTTTACAGAACTACTGTTAAAAGCAATTCTCGTCACGTAGAAGAAACTCTATCGAGGTAAAAAGTAGCAGAGGTTGTTTCCGAACCAAGCAGCTTCGAAACTTGGGTTCTGAACGTACGAGCAATGCCCCATAACGAAAGTTTTACCAATCAGTGGATCGTCAAAGGTTGTGAACTGATCGGATGGTTCGGAGTTTTCATTGACATGGCTGATTACATTCATTATAGGAACGAATACCAAGGTGGACAATATGAAAATAACTTTCCACGTATGTACACTGCATTAGTAAACAAAGATGAAACGCCAATCAACTACGCACTGGTGATGTCATGTCTTCTAATACCGAAAGGTTTGTAACCAAATCAGCAGACCGAGTGAAAGAAATAAAGCTGCATACGGGGAGCTCACTCAACTCAAGTTAAAAGAAGCCCTTTATCGCCCTAAAAATCACGAAATGAAGCTTCCTCTGATCTGGCCCTACAGTCTCCCTCCCGACAGTTGCTCAACAACAAATAAAACCAATGAGGTCAAGTCTAGTTTCAGATTTCTACATCAATGCGGTTTCAAATCTGTTCCGTTAAGTCTCGTATCACGTAACCCATGTAGTGAATCCCTTCGGTGCCGAAATGACCGTGAATAATCGTGGAATTTTCTCCAAATTTTAGCAAGCTCGGGTGGACACCTGGTACAAACCAAGTTAACGGTCCTGGACATTGTGGGTGGTCACCAAAGGGCAGACGTGAGCGCTCAAAAGGATGCTGAAAATGCTTCGGACATGTTGAAGTAAGAAATCCAACTACTTGTGAGGTGGCGAAAACACGCACGTACTCGAACCGCCGACCTCCGTCTACCGGACGGTGCTCTACCGACTGGGCTACAGTGGATTCGCTCTCTGTTACGTCTGTGCATTTAGACTTCAGAGCTGATTCACCATAACTCTGCCTAATTGAAGGTATCTGTTTGTGAAGTTGCTTAGCCCCTTGCGTGGATTTTAGAGCGGGTCGGGTGTGCATAGCATTTTATCACTAAAAAGGCATTGTGTAAATTCTTAGAAGTTAGAAATGTAGAGGGTAGAAGTTGGAATAAAGCGACGCCTGGGGACGGACTGAAGCCGCCGACCTTCCGTTTACCAACAGCGTTCAGTTCATTTGAAGAACGTAACTGAGTTGGTTGCAAAAATGTCGCTACCGCAAGGCATTCCAATGACTCACAATCCGAGTGCAATCTTGGGAAGATTGATTTCAAAAGCAAAGGATGAAACTGGACAAAGCAGCCAAAACGATCTTGGCTGCTACTTAAATTACAGTAGATGCAGCAAGTTTGTCAAACAAACCAGAAGGAAACTGTCTACACAGATAAGCCAACACAAGACGACCGTGAGAAGTTTCGATCCGATTTCTTTGGTTTCCATCATTGAGGACTAGAAAAGTTGACATTTCAGTACGAGAAAAAGTGAAGATTCTTGCGCGCAGAGGCACCAACAAGTGATGGAATTTCCGGAAGCGTGGTACTGTAAGACGAACTCAATCAACCAACACGTTGAAATGCAGCCACTCCATTTAACTACTCTACAGGCTGGATCGAATAACACAAATACGGCCGGGCATCGGACAAACGGATAAGACAACGAGATCAACTATGGGGCCAGCCCGGCACACGTCGCAAGGTACGAATCACCTGGTCACCTGGACGCCGGCCATTTAGACCACCATTGAAAAGTCCAGTCAGTAAGACAGTCAAGAAAACCGACCCTATTCCAAGGTCACCCCCTTCAGAGGCAACTCACACACACCCACAACCGAAGCACATCCACCAACGCACAGTTCCACTCCGCCTCACGGCGACGCACTGATACCGTCACCCTGACTGGGGACTGAAGGTTTACGACGCAACTGTCAAGCAACTAAACCTTCAACAATTGGTCATATCCGTGCTTTTATCCTACCCATACATAAAGATAACTGGATGCATGAAATTCAAAGATATGCTTTTACTTTGTGCGTTTAGCATATAATTTTTCATACATTGAATCAGTCGTTCATTTCGTGTGTCCTGCAGGCTGTGGGATGTATTCACGGTGGCTATCCCTAAGTTCTGCTGAGCCTTCTGATAAACTAAACCACGTGACTAGTTCCATTGTGGTAATAAACAGATTAATCCCAGTCTTTCTAATTCTACTCTAAGGCCATCTCAACATCCGAGGCAATTGCAGGTCGACCACAATAAAATTTTTGTCCCCAGAGCCATCACGTGATAGCACAGACCCTGAAACGGTCCATTAGTTCCCCGAGCCAAACTGTCTCCTCTACCGAGCCATAAGTGACTCTACGAAAACACGTTGAAATGCAGCCACTCCAATGCAGCCACCCATTTAACTACTCTACAGGCTGGATCGAATAACACAAATACGGCCGGGCATCGGACAAACGGATAAGACAACGAGATCAACTACGGGGCCAGCCCGGCACACGTCGCAAGGTACGAATCACCTGGTCACCTGAACGCCGGCCATTTAGACCACCATTGAAAAGTCCAGTCAGTAAGACAGTCAAGAAAACCGACCCTATTCCAAGGTCACCCCCTTCAGAGGCAACTCACACACACCCACAACCGAAGCACATCCACCAACGCACAGTTCCACTCCGCCTCACGGCGACGCACTGATACCGTCACCCTGACTGGGGACTGAAGGTTTACGACGCAACTGTCAAGCAACTAAACCTTCAACAATTGGTCATATCCGTGCTTTTATCCTACCCATACATAAAGATAACTGGATGCATGAAATTCAAAGATATGCTTTTACTTTGTGCGTTTAGCATATAATTTTTCATACATTGAATCAGTCGTTCATTTCGTGTGTCCTGCAGGCTGTGGGATGTATTCACGGTGGCTATCCCTAAGTTCTGCTGAGCCTTCTGATAAACTAAACCACGTGACTAGTTCCATTGTGGTAATAAACAGATTAATCCCAGTCTTTCTAATTCTACTCTAAGGCCATCTCAACATCCGAGGCAATTGCAGGTCGACCACAATAAAATTTTTGTCCCCAGAGCCATCACGTGATAGCACAGACCCTGAAACGGTCCATTAGTTCCCCGAGCCAAACTGTCTCCTCTACCGAGCCATAAGTGACTCTACGAACTGTAGAACGATTATGCTGACTGATGTTACTGACCAATTCTATTACAGTATGCTGTTCCTTTAAGCTTTTATATTAGTTAAATATTTATTTGCCCAATGAGACCATATCATGTCTTAAATTGGATAGACTGCTCGCTGTATAGTGCCGAGCTATGGAAGACTCAAATATTAAAGAAAATCCGCTATTTTGTCAATACTCATGCTTGAGGAGCAGAACTTGTACAACATATTAGTATGTATGAGTACATAGTCGAAGATTTCGAGGAACAACACCTGAAAAGCGACGGTGATTTGCAGCAGTTTTGCCAGGAAAATCAGCGGTTATTTAATGAAAGATATATAAAAAATATTGCAACATACCAAACCTACCTCCGGCAATAGGTAGATTCATCTTCACTTGATCTTCAGGGGTTATCACTTGGCAATTTAGCCTTTGAAAGACTATCGGGTGGTGTAAGTTGTTCTTCCAGCTGTGCTAATCGTTGTTCGAGAGCATCTAGTACTCGGCTGCTCTGGTGCTGCTCATAACTAGACCTTCCAAGAAGATGATCCGTGTAACTTCGCTGTTGGTCCATAAGAATCTTCATCAACCACGGATTCGTTATATAATCTCTTGAGGTTTGCGAAGTACGCTGATGGGGTAAGGGATGGGGAGATTTCAGTGGAGGTAGGCTTGAATAAGCCCCTAACCGACAGAGTTCTTCTCTGGAGCCCGCAACAATCGCTCGCCGAATTTCAATAAGCTCGTGTAATCGATCAAGCGAAGATAATCGGTGTGGCCTTGGAGGACCAATCAAAAAGTCGAAAGTCTCTGTATCTAGGGGTATGCGAGAAAACTCATTGGAACGATAAGGTTGCGCTGGCCGAGAAGATGGATCTTGAAGACAGTCAGTGCTTCTGTATAGTCTGAATTTTTGGGAATCTGTTGATTTGAGCGGAAAGGTACAGCACTGATCGGTTTTCGGATCTGCAGTCGATATTGGGATCGTTGTTTGTGTGGATGTTGACTGACTAGTGGATCGATTTTGCCGTCCAATCAATTCACGTAAGGATGACACATAAAGCGCTTGCCTCTGTTGTTTTCGTTCAGCCTCTTCCAACTGATGAACAACACGTCGCAGTTGCTCTTTCAGGTATATCACTTCCTCCCGCAGTCGTTGCAGTTCATCAAAACGCTCCTTTCTGGAGGTGTCTTCACTCAGAGTTTCATCACTGTTTGACGTTGGAAACATTGCCAAGAGGTCTTCCACTCGATTACATGCCTGATTCAAACGCGCTTCAACAAGTTTCTCCCACGTCTTGAGGCGTTTTTGCTCCTCACTCACTGCTTCAGCCAGAGTCTTTGATCTGAGTGGCGATGCTAGATCTCGCGTGGGTCCACCAGAGATGGATCTTCTGCTTCTGTGTCCTTTTCGTTCTCTGTCACGGTCAGGTTTTTGTAGACTGGGACTACGTATTTGATGAAGAAGAGGGGGGTTGGAAGAGTCTTTTGAAGCTGTTAAAAGAGGTCCTGGTAATTCATTTCGCCACCTAGAAGCCGAGGGTTGATCTTCTGGCTGCAGATTTTGAGAAGCATATTCATCTGTCAAGTTAGATGGAAAAACGCTCGAACTGGCAAAAAACTGCCTGTCATCTGCACCAGCTCGGTAGTTACTGCACCACTCAGATATGCTGGACGGAGGCGTGCTGAACACCGACAAAGATAAGTTCACCGATTCATGGACTCTTTGGGCATCCTCCAGTAAACCCGTAACAACAGGCCCCATACTGTGAGGTCCAGTTAATTCTGTCCCGATTCCGGAATCCACAGTTGTGGAAAACTGCTCAATGACCCTGTCAATCATACGCAGTGATTCATCTGCAGGGTCACCTGGCTTCTCCCTGGTAATAGTGTTCCGTGCCAGACAGAGAGCTGAGTGAAGCTGTGACGTTTCCGTGCTACTGAATACAAATCTTCCATTGATAGACGCAGATAACCACAGTGCCAGTCCTTTCTTTAATAAGTCACGATTCACTTGAAGAATTGGGGTCATTAGTCGTTGTCCCAGACTTTGGATTTGTTCAATTGAGCTATCATCCATGAAATAAGTTTCACCCTTGTCAGCTACGCGTTGCAAATCTTGAAGCAACTGTTTTTCCGTGGGAGACAGTTGAACTTGGTCTTTGTACAAAGGTGTTACTTGGTGGGTGGCTCTGTGTATAATATCGACGGATGCAGTCAACTCGGCAATCTCTGCAGGTTCCATGACTCTGGGAGTGCAGGGTGTGATCAAACGTCCAAAAGCCGCATAAGCTTGTTCGACTGTGGGACCGAATTGTACCAACATGGACGGTGAAACGTTTTCGGGTTCTGAAAAACTTTCTGGTGGATTGTGTAGTTCAACAGTCGAATTAGCGGGAAGCACATTTTCAGCCCCTCTGCAGATTTGACGAACTTGTGTTAACAAAGGTCTCAATTGTGATAACGAACAAGATCGAGTTTGAGCTGACTTGGTCTCACCGTTTTCGGGACATTCAATAATTATTTTGAAAATGCTATCTTCAAGTTCTTGGACTGCTCTCTGATCCTCTGCATCAGTCTTTGAGTTTTCTAAAGCCTGTTTGACATAATGCGTTTTTTCCAGCATACTGGCGACGACCTCAGAGTTGAAAAGGTATTCGGAAGAATTAAGATCACGTTCAACCTGTTCCATCCTTCGCACCAGTGAATTCTCACAAGCGTACTGTTCAGAACTGTCTTCTTCCACACGGGTGCTTCTTTGAAGTCTATGTTTTTCTGATATCGTGGGTTCCTTTGGCAACAAATGACCGATAACCTGTAGGAGAGATAGAATGGTTGTGGCCGGCCTTTTCTCCTCTATGGACTGCAGCAGTCTGTTGACACATATTGCGACTAACTCCATATTAGATACCTCCTGGTCAGTCAGCTGTTCATTATCCTTCATTCTGTCTATCAGGCTTTCGATCATTGTACAAATGTGTGCCAATATTCTACTTTTTGTTTCCTGGGGGATCGCACTCCACTGGCACCAGGTTTGCCCACTAGCGACGCTATGCCCAAGTGCTGCTTGCAGTAAGGCGGTATCAGAACTTGGAATGCCAGTAGCCGAAATCATTTGCCGTAGCAAATCCAAAATGAGCATTGCTTCACGCGGATGAACTCGCACAGGCCTGGCAAGCATACTGAATCGAGCGGACTCGTTGGAGGTCAGACTTTGTAATGTGCTGCGTATTCGTCCAACACGCACCGGTACTGGTAGGTCTGGGTGGGAAAGCGCGGCCTCAAAAGAATCACACAACTGTCGGAGTTCACAGCGTTGGCTTACTGTGATGCAAGCTGGTCTGGCGTAGATCAGATAGTCCAGCAGACCATGAAGGTTTCTTCGCTGACTTTGTGGCCCTGCATCTGGAGTTCCAAGCAACATAAAGATACGAAGAATATGTATTAGCAACTGTTTTTCACCTGGTTCCAGTGTGCGCAAAACTGGATCAGGATCCGTGTGCTCCTCTAATGTGGTCAAAGAAGCAACAAGGTCAATAAGTTCCCGATGCACCAAACGTCCAAGCTGTGTTTTCACTTCTTCCAGTAGTTCGGATACTTCAGTTGCTTCGGATAAGTCTAACTCGTAATTTTCCAAGTTTGCCGCGGCACAGAGACTGCGTTGTTCATGTTGTTGCAGCATGGCTCTCTGGGGAATTGGCGACAGGCGGCCAGTAGACCCGTATTGAAGGACTGTCATTAGACAAGTACCGAAAGCAGCAGCATCTGAAGGACAGATCGTCACACCAAACAGGCTGCCCGACGAATACTGAGCGAACATAGAGGGTAGAAGGCTCAGCAAGTATGTGAGGCTTGAAATAACGTTAGCGTCAACCAGGGAAGTACTCGTGTTATCTCTCAGTGGGCACATGGCTAGACGCAGAGCATCACGTAGAGGGTTTGAGATGTTGACATAGTCCATCTCAGGATCCGCTTGCAATTCTTCCAAGGCCCTCACACTTATCCAAGCATCATAAGGCTGCATAAATTGTCCATTTGCGATTGTCAGCTGAATGGCGTTGCTCAACTCAGAGTTAGTCATATCGGCGGTGAGATCACATTCATTACTAACAGCCAATTTTCGGATAGTCGCTGTTCTCTGGTGTTGTGCTTCCAGGGCTAGGCGGGGCTTCCAAAAGTTTATTAGCTCCTCGATTTTATCGATTTCATTATCTGATAGTCGAATCGAGTCACCACGATCGCCTGAAAAATTTGTCCCTTCAGTGGTGGTCAGTACTGAACTTAGAAAGGATTGCGTCAGGCCTAGAACCACACGGCAATCGTCTGAAATCGTCGAATAATCATCGGAATCCCAAGATTGCAAGCTTCCTTGTTGATAGGAACGATTGTTCAGTACTTCCAAAGCTGAATTCAGGATGGCTGCATCTTTTTGGAACAAGCGGATTTCATCGTTCGATCCATTTGAAGTTACCCTATCTAAAATCTGCTCTGCGGTTTGTAAGCTAACAATGAGGTCTGTTGTTGTAACCACATCCAAATCCTGATTGTCGATATTCTCTCGAATTCTTTGAAAAGTTTGCGAAAGGAAATGCAGTTCGTAGTCAGACAACCTAGATTGGTCAGTGCATCGTGAAAGCGACTCTTTTGCCTGAGCTAACATGCCACACAAGTTCGGGGTTAGGTGATAGCTAAGGGGACTTGTTAACACCAAACCGATGGTATCTGTAAATTGCTTCTTATCAGTGGCACTGAGGTAACCGGTAGTTTCAGCTGCTTCCAATCTGTGTAGTGAATCTTCGGTCTGTGCCAGGAGGGCTTGTTTGAGGACGTCACGGTAATTGTTGCAAGCAATCGATATTAAAGCACGACTTCTGACATCCAATTTGACAGGTTGTCTTAGTAGCGCAGTTCCCAATAACCGCCAAACGAGTCGTTTCAGATGAATAATCCACTTTGGGGCCAACTTCTCCCAGCCAAGCTGACTATACATCAGTGTTAGAGTGTGTAACATGCCCGTCAACAAAAGCGTGCAGCCATACGGAAGTGGCTTCTCTATGTCACTTGCTCCAAGTAGTTCCTCCAACATGTCTGGAATAAATCCACATAAGTTTTGAGGAGTTGGTTCAACCAGCTCATTCATGGCGATGGAGTCGATTTCTAACGTATGGGTCTCATGAAGCATGAACACTCTACCCTCTTCATACAAACTGTTGAGCATGCAAAGCGTTTCGTCGTCAATCGAAGCCGTAGAAATGGCAACCATCAATCGGTTGAGCATGGCGAGCTCCCTAGGAGTCAGAGTTCTCTGCCGTGCTAGGTAGAGGACAAATATGTGTAGCATTAGTAGTTGGTCAGGGGAGATGTCGTTTCCTCGAGTATATGTTTCGTGCGTGTTTCGGAGAATTCGCTCAACAAATTGACGCGCATTCCGTGTGATTGGGATTTCACAGAAACGATGTAGGGAGCGCAGTTTCTTACAGTCAGCGTCGCTTATTTCAAATCCAGCTGCGTCACAGATATCCTCGACAGATTCTTGCATAAACGAGTGTTTTAGCAACTGTGATTTCATTCCTTCAAGTTCGTTTATGATCCTCTTTCTTGCCATGTCACTGGAGTTTGCCAGTGTTTCTAGACCCGACAACAGTAAACTTGCTTCAGCTGGCCAGAGGGCTTCACCATCCATCGTACGCTGAACAAAAAATAAAGCAGTTAACTGTTCGCTCAGGTTGGGTGGACTACCTTTTGGAGTGCTTAGGAAGGTAGTCACAATATCTAGATCAGCGGCCGAAATCTCCATTGGTACGTAGAGCTGTTCTTGCGTCTTTTCGTCAAGTTTATCTGTGCTGACGGTGATATCCTTACTCTCTTCCAATTCGACCAAGATTCCCAAAAGCGGAAGCATTGTGCTCATCAGTGGTGGATATCTTCGCATTTGGTCGAGGACGCATCGATGAAGAAGTGCCGTCGTCTTAGGATCAAGCCGTTGGGTAGCATCCGCAGTATCGAGATTTCCGCAGTACTTCAGTACGCTTAGTCTATTGTCGCCAATCCTGTTAACTCTGGCAGGGTCTTCAAAGGCATACATTCGGAAAAGTTGAAGGCGCTCAACCAGATCTTGTCGGATTTGGTTACTTTCCTTCTCTTCTATTTTTTCCAGTTCGTTGACCAGTATGTTGCGGAGGTCATCTGGTGCACTAACGACACTACCTACGTCAACTGACTGACCACTGACTGAAGCACGTAGCAGTTTGGTTTTTACTGAATGAAGTTTATTGCAGAGTTCCTCTGAGAATGAGCCGGTCGCTGATGGAGAGTTCAAGATTCCGGTAATGTCATCAAACAGTTGTGCAGCTTCCACTGGATTCAACACCTTCCCTTCTGCAAGGTGAGCCAGTTTGGGACATTCAACGAGATACGACGTACCTGGTTTATCCAGTGTGGTCTCGAACTGTTCCGATTTGGCCGAGTCAGAGGCACTACTGAGGACCTGGTTAACTATCAAACGCTCGTCTCGCGTCAAGGCATTGTCACTAGAATTACGCAGCTTTTCCATCAATCCAATTATGAATCCCAATTTAACTGGAAGTTTCGCCTTTTTGCACATAATGGTCATGCCCAGTGCTTCGATGACCTTTTCGTTGCTGACACCCTCCAGTCGGACGGCATTTTCTGAGTTGGTATTCCCACCATCGGTCGGGTGATCAGACTCCGATAACTTGCCATTGTTAACCTCTAGCAGCGCTCCATTAAGGGAATCTTCGACCAAATCACGTGACAATGCTGCCGTGTTTGCCAATTCTTCCTTCACCATTTCCAGCGTTACTGCAGGCACATCCTCGTCATTCACTAATTGGTCAAGTAACCCGTCGATGACTGCAGTGATAGTTGGTGTGGTTGATATGCCTAGGCACCTCGCCAACTCTCTCACGTGTGCCAGATGCATGACTAGGGCCGCAAGATCCTCCGGTTGAGAACATTGACATTTAGCTGCAAAATGCTCCGCTTCTTTCACGGCCTCCGATAACAGTGAACATAGATTCGGACGTGATTCATTCTCTAACGATTGTAAAGAAAATTCAACCGTTTCTTTGAGGTTAGGCTCAATTCTGATGATCAGACTCATCAGTGGTGAATTACATAACGTCGAAGCTAAATTGCTCGGTTTATGGGTGATTGCTGTCCACAGCAAGGTAGCAAACAGCGGAATACGTGACGAATCAGTTTCAACCCGTTCGACAGAATATGCGTCAGGTGATTCTAGGTTAACTTGGAGCAGCTTGGCGATATTGGTAATGGCAAAGTTAAGATGGTTTGCCAATCGGTCGAGATTGGTGTCTCTTGTGTGATTCGGAGCATTCGTCCCTTGGATTAATTCAGCAACCGTTTGTTCGATGCTTTTTGCCTGCGTCTCATCCATCGAAATCTCAGGTATCGCTTTGCATAGTCTTAATATATACGCAAGAGAGTACCTATCACCACTTTCAAGGACATTTGCATTTTCTTTTAACAGCTTGTTTTCGATGGCCATCAAATGCGCCAAACAAGCTGCATATTCCAGTAAACTGTGCTTTCGTTCAGTGTTGCTCAATCTTTCCAAGGTATTCAATAGATGGTCAGCAATTGACTTCCGAACAATTACATCTTCCGTTTCGTCCAACACTTTGGCCAACCTCCTTATTTCCCGTAAACCAAGAGGTTCTTCCAAATTATCGTGCGTATCCCTGAAAAGCTCCGTGGGAATATTGTTTGGTATATGACTAGTCTCCGTTGACATTGATTCGTTGTCCATCTGTAACACCTGTTCTCCTGCTTCTTGCAGATGAGCATTTATACACTGATCAGAAAAACGTTTTATATCTTCCACCACGCCTATCGTAAGCACCCAACCATCCGACTGACGCCTGCCCAGATGTAGTTGTCTGATGACGGACTGGATTAATGGGTGATCATCTATCTTGTGTACTCCTGCAATTTCAAGACACCATTGCAGTCCGTTGGCCAGCATTGCGCATTCCTTTCTGGTTAGGACAACCAAGCCTTGAGACTCATCATAACTGTCGACAGTTGACAAAAGATTGCGTATTTGTAAAGCGGATTCGTACACTGTGGTTGAACTAAAAGATCCTAGACGATCTACATGTGACAGGTTTGAAATAGCATCCAATTTGGCTTGCTGGTAGTCGTTCTCATCCAGCGGAAACTCCAAAGTGCCTTCAAGAGGAGTGCGTTCAATGGATTTTGAGGATGCCTGGTTCGTTGAAAGTGATCGACTGATCTGCGATAACTGGACAACCGAATGTGATTCTTCCTGCGCTGACCTTGTCAAAGCTGAGTGTAATAATGCTTTCTCACCGATTCCTTCGTTCATTGAGGTTAGACGTTGCAGCCAAAGTTTGATTTGTACTCGACTGAGTTTGACGTCTGAGAATAAGTACATTTCATTCATAGAAAACAAGAGATTTGCTTTAAGTACATCAAGATTGTCTTCAATCTCGCCAGATGTGAGAAGGGCGGCAAATAAATAAGGATTGACTATTACCCACTGACTGTTCGGGTTGGCTTGATCCAAAGCAGTCTGCAGTTGATGTATTATTTCCGGTAGTTGTAGCTCATCTTTGTGTAAAGTTGACAAGTCTCGGCGGACTTTTGTTAGTCTTTGAGAAAGCCAACCCAAGATACACTGGTCAGATTTATCGATCCTTTGATCAGTGCGCCTTGAAATACGTTGAATCAGTTCCACCAACAAGGCGGCTTCGTCTCTCTGTATAGCGCCATTGTATGCATATATATGAATCAAACCAGCACAAATCATGTCAATGAGTCGCATTCTCTCAGAGTCGGACACATTCAGGTCAGATCTATTCGCAAAATGATGGAGGGTTAGGTGCATACCTTCAAGCGAACTTCGAAATTGAAAGTCTTCCTGTAGTTTGCGAACGACGTCCGCGATTAAAGCGAAAGACGTATCGTCACACGACTGAGACGAATTCATTAAAAAACTAAAGACGCCATAACTAGGAAAGGCGGCGCTCAGGAGACGCAAACTCCGATTCAGGACGTCGGAAAAACCGGAGATCAGCATAGATTCCATTAAAAGAATCCTGTCCGAAAGATGCGAGAATCGATCCAGGAAAACGAAGGAAACCAAAACATCGGAAAATTTCAAGTAACCATCGAGAAAAGGTCCAAAATAATTAGCAGATAACACGGATTCATCCAAAATATCGGCACCCACAAACTGCCCAAGAAAGCCATGGGAAATATCTCGCAGCTGACTCGCTAGAATGGGCAGTTGCGTCGCGTAGTGTGGATTGCATTGCATGGCCCTCGCCGTCCTCACCACGGGAACAAGGGCAGAATGTGGAATGGCCGATTCGAGCTTCAGAACACTCGTGACAATTTCGTTGGCTTGTTCCGGCGTCAATTCACTAGGCACTCGTTTCTGTACTGTTTGCAGCAAGCTGTTCAGCTGTTCCGATTGTTGAGCCGAAATAGTCAGACTGGGGTCTGTTGATTCAGCAAGGTGTGTCTCACTAGACTGAACCGCTTGGCTTGTTCCGCAATTCACTAGGCACTCGTTTCTGTACTGTTTGCAGCAAGCTGTTCAGCTGTTCCGATTGTTGAGCCGAAATAGTCAGACAGAGGTCTGTTGATTCAGCAAGGTGTGTCTCACTAGACTGAACCGCTTGTGTGTGGACTGCCGTGGTGGCACTACACAGTTTCTGCAGCTGACTCGCTAGAATGGGCAGTTGCGTCGCGTAGTGTGGATTGCATTGCATGGCCCTCGCCGTCCTCACCACGGGAACAAGGGCAGAATGTGGAATGGCCGATTCGAGCTTCAGAACACTCGTGACAATTTCGTTGGCTTGTTCCGGCGTCAATTCACTAGGCACTCGTTTCTGTACTGTTTGCAGCAAGCTGTTCAGCTGTTCCGATTGTTGAGCCGAAATAGTCAGACTGGGGTCTGTTGATTCAGCAAGGTGTGTCTCACTAGACTGAACCGCTTGTGTGTGGACTGCCGTGGTGGCACTACACAGTTTCTGCAGCTGACTCGCTAGAATGGGCAGTTGCGTCGCGTAGTGTGGATTGCATTGCATGGCCCTCGCCGTCCTCACCACGGGAACAAGGGCAGAATGTGGAATGGCCGATTCGAGCTTCAGAACACTCGTGACAATTTCGTTGGCTTGTTCCGGCGTCAATTCACTAGGCACTCGTTTCTGTACTGTTTGCAGCAAACTGTTCAGCTGTTCCGATTGTTGAGCCGAAATAGTCAGACTGGGGTCTGTTGATTCAGCAAGGTGTGTCTCACTAGACTGAACCGCTTGTGTGTGGACTGCCGTGGTGGCACTACACAGTTTCTGCAGCTGACTCGCTAGAATGGGCAGTTGCGTCGCGTAGTGTGGATTGCATTGCATGGCCCTCGCCGTCCTCACCACGGGAACAAGGGCAGAATGTGGAATGGCCGATTCGAGCTTCAGAACACTCGTGACAATTTCGTTGGCTTGTTCCGGCGTCAATTCACTAGGCACTCGTTTCTGTACTGTTTGCAGCAAACTGTTCAGCTGTTCCGATTGTTGAGCCGAAATAGTCAGACTGGGGTCTGTTGATTCAGCAAGGTGTGTCTCACTAGACTGAACCGCTTGTGTGTGGACTGCCGTGGTGGCACTACACAGTTTCTGCAGCTGACTCGCTAGAATGGGCAGTTGCGTCGCGTAGTGTGGATTGCATTGCATGGCCCTCGCCGTCCTCACCACGGGAACAAGGGCAGAATGTGGAATGGCCGATTCGAGCTTCAGAACACTCGTGACAATTTCGTTGGCTTGTTCCGGCGTCAATTCACTAGGCACTCGTTTCTGTACTGTTTGCAGCAAACTGTTCAGCTGTTCCGATTGTTGAGCCGAAATAGTCAGACTGGGGTCTGTTGATTCAGCAAGGTGTGTCTCACTAGACTGAACCGCTTGTGTGTGGACTGCCGTGGTGGCACTACACAGTTTCTGCAGCTGACTCGCTAGAATGGGCAGTTGCGTCGCGTAGTGTGGATTGCATTGCATGGCCCTCGCCGTCCTCACCACGGGAACAAGGGCAGAATGTGGAATGGCCGATTCGAGCTTCAGAACACTCGTGACAATTTCGTTGGCTTGTTCCGGCGTCAATTCACTAGGCACTCGTTTCTGTACTGTTTGCAGCAAACTGTTCAGCTGTTCCGATTGTTGAGCCGAAATAGTCAGACTGGGGTCTGTTGATTCAGCAAGGTGTGTCTCACTAGACTGAACCGCTTGTGTGTGGACTGCCGTGGTGGCACTACACAGTTTCTGCAGCTGACTCGCTAGAATGGGCAGTTGCGTCGCGTAGTGTGGATTGCATTGCATGGCCCTCGCCGTCCTCACCACGGGAACAAGGGCAGAATGTGGAATGGCCGATTCGAGCTTCAGAACACTCGTGACAATTTCGTTGGCTTGTTCCGGCGTCAATTCACTAGGCACTCGTTTCTGTACTGTTTGCAGCAAACTGTTCAGCTGTTCCGATTGTTGAGCCGAAATAGTCAGACTGGGGTCTGTTGATTCAGCAAGGTGTGTCTCACTAGACTGAACCGCTCGGGAGAGCGTCGCTCGTGACAATTTCGTTGGCTTGTTCCGGCGTCAATTCACTAGGCACTCGTTTCTGTACTGTTTGCAGCGCTGTGTTTATCTCTTCCGGTGCTTGTTCTGAAATTTTTAAGGGGGCTTTTTGGTTGTCGTTTTCATATTTGATTGCGTTGAATGGTTGTTCTTTTGGTGAAATTTTTCCTGGTTTGTAATTTTGGATAATACTATTCATGCTGTTGGCGTATTCGTTGTTATCGTTCTTCAGTGCCCTGTATATGCATTCCATTTCTGGCCCTGTCATTTCAACGTATCTTTCAGTGTTATCTTGAATCTGTGATGTTATTTTATGAAATAACTCTTCCATCCGTTCTCTCTGGTCCACACCTTCTCTTTCGTTTGTTTTGGGCATCGTTTCTAACATTTCGGTTTGGAAATATCTGGCCATGCACTGGGCGACGGATTTTTCAACTTTTACTGTTTGTGTTTCTTCCTGTCTACACGTCCGTGGTAGCCGTCGCTCTTCATTGGCATTGCAGATCCCAGCCGGCACGTTGTTGCTGACCCATCCAGCTCTGTGTTTGGGAATAATGACAGCAGATTTATTCTGTGACCGTTTAATTGCATGTTCACTCACGCTTTCATTTTCTGAGCTCACTGCATCGCGTAACCAAAGTTTCATAGGAGGATATCTTTCACTCTGCGATGTATGCGTTTCACAAACACTGGTTTCTGAGCTACAAATTTCAGCGATTGGACTCAACATATCATTCGATGGTTCATCGTCCGTAGAATCCGTGGTTGATCGTAGCTGACCTGAGTAAAAGGCGAAGTATTTAGCGTCTAATGCTTTCTCACAAGGGTTGCGTACCGCGTTGCTTACCGATAACACGGTCAACAGGACTTGCTGAACTACCATGGCTTCCTTCAAGTCTATTGCGCAATATTCTTGCCTATTTTGCGTCAATTCAGTGTCCAGTCGCCGAGTTAACTGTTCAGATACGGACCATAAATGTTTTGGACCATCATACCCAACTGTATTGTTTCTTACAGATCTCCAGTGTTCTCTGTTTGCAAGCTCAAGCCCTCGCAGAATCAATGTTGCCTCTGATCGACTGAGGACAATCTGGTTGGATTGATAAGTATCCGGATTTACAGAAACCTCGTACAATGTTTGCAAGGCCAACGTAAGGGGCTGTGAGTTACAAGTGGACACCAGCATATTCAGTCGGTAGACCAAATCTCCGAGGTTATCGCGGGTTCGGCCATCCAAATGCACTTGTTTACTTGTTCCGAACTGCTGGTCCATTTCTGACACGAAATCTGAAAGGTCACGGGGAAGCGAATCTATCTGGTTGTAGGGGAGTGTTCGCGTTTGCGGACTGATTTTTTTCAAGCAGTTTTAGTAGGTGTTGCCGCAGAGCCATATATTCAGGATGCGTTAAACACGCATTTCCCACTGCACACAGAATGGCATCAACAGCTGACGAAACTAGTTGATTCGCCTTATCTGTGTGCGTCTGACAAGGTCCATCATCGTGCTTCTCTTCCTCTTCATTCCCGTCATTTACTTTTTGATTGTTTCCATATACTGTGAAAATCTGGTTAGTAGTGATAGTTTCGAGAAGTTGCTTTAGGCGTGCTCGACTGTTGGCCGTAAAACGCACTGATTTTGAGCAGTCTGAATCGAGGAGTGAACTTTCAAGTTGGGTTATCAGTTCTTGTATGACAAGGCGTGATGACATAGAGAGGTCAGTCCCTTTTATCCGTCTCTGCTGTAAAGCTTTCAACTCGGACAGGCCTTTCGAAAGTTCTTCAGCGGATGGTGACCTATTTTGAGCCAGCTTGTGTAAATAATGCAAATCTGGAGAAGTCGATGAAAGGCAGCTATCTACTAAATCTTTCTCAGAGATCGGAGTGATAAGAGTCGGCTTTGGAGATACAATTTTTTGTGGCACCTCATTCGAGCAGCTTTGGGAAGATCCTAGACGGACACCTGGAACGTTTTTGGATGAACGTTGCTGGGAAGAGCATGAATAATTAGAGGAAGGATACGAATCCCTCTGAATACTGTCTGGTAGGAAGCTGAAACCATTATTTCCGGAAGTCGCGGATACTTTGCCCGAATTCAAATGTAAGCTTGTCTTCAGACTATCATCCTTGATCCTTTCAACACTGGAAGGAACTGTGGCGCACCAAGCTGGTAGTACGTATGTGTTGTTCACGTCCTCTGATCTGATGGCGGATTGAGTTGGCGTTCCTGTAGTGCGTTCGTGTGTGCAGTCAGCTGACACCTCAGGTTTGACTCCTTTCCGCTTTGATCGTCTAACTGGTCTGCAGCCAGTTTGATGTGTGCAAGCTCTGCCTGAAAGTGGAAGGAATAATTTGTCATATTAAACCTGAAATCGTGCATGATTGTTGCTTCTATTCAGTAGCATTAGTCAGTTTTGACTGAAAACGCGTCTGCAAATGTCAAGAATGCTTAGATATGGACGTGAATCCAAGTGGAATCGGCCTGTCCAAAACTCAAAAGCGGAAACATTTAACCAGGAGTCGATTACCCAAGTAGGACAAACTGCCAGGGAATTGCACACCAGAATTGGTGAGCATAAAAGAAGGATTAAGAAACTACCAAGCAATGCAGAAGAATACCAAACGCTGGTCAAAGACTCAGCGATGGCGGCACATGCCTTAGACACAGGACATAGAATAGGTCTGGAGAATGTGGAATTTTTAAGACGGGGACTGCGATTCACACCACAGCGGCTGATAGCCGAGGTGGTGGAAATTACTAAGCATCACAGCGTGAATAGAATCGAGGGTGTGGAGCTAGCGAGTGTATGGAAAGCGGTCTTAGATAAGCCGAGTTAACACGTGACGGTGTGGTTGTCAATCCACTTAGGATCATTGGAAAAAAAACCGGGGGGTGGGGGTGGAAACCCCAACCGATCAAAGATCACAGCATCCCTCTTACACAAGTGAGCAGTAGCTCACCTACACAGACTGACAGAAGGTTCAGATGACGTTCAAGAGGGACCATCAAGTGAACTGAAATAAAAGAGCTAGAACCTAGGCTGGACCCAAACACATGTAGGTTTCCCCACCGACCCAACGCTTGTTCAACCACCACACCACACTAAAATCCCTCGGCCGACACCCAACAGAGATTTAGCTTGACTTAGCTGATTGGTTCTCCTTTCGCCTTAAATACCGACCAACCTCGGAACCTAGTCACTTGGCCTGACGAAGGTTTTGTGTCAAAAGCGAAACGTTGCCCAGCAATGCATCTATCGATTGTCACCAAACTTTTTCGAAAACGAAAACTAACTGTTCTTTCGCTCATGAAACGGCAAACTAGGTCGAAAATGCATCATTGAACACAACCCATAACTAAATCGTAACGCGAATGTTTCGTTAATCCAGGAAATGCAAAGCCTTATTGAAACCGAGTTTTCGTATTACGAAGTCGAAGGCATATGTTGTCTGTTTGCGAGCGTCACAGTAATGCGATGGTCTGTTTAGTGAAAACCTCGGGTTCGGATCAGTGACACTTAGAATGAAACACAACACTCTTGTTTTTTTATCCGAAGGCTGATGTTATGGTTGTGAGTGGAAATCATTGGTAGACGCCTACAGGCGACGAAGATTTGACTAGAACTGGTAACGATATTGAAAGGGAAGGCGAGGGAAAAGTGCAACCGTAAGTTAAAATGTCTAATCTTGTACAAAAAATTGTTGTCCATAAAGTAAATAGGCACGAAAGAATAGGAAACGTTGTCCATAGAATATCTTGCAATAATATTTCCAACTCTATTTGTGTCACTGGTGAAACATGGCCAAAAGATAGAAAGATTGCTAGAATTGGGTTGGGAAGTTTGGATACTGTATGAGGGCTTATTGTCAAAGTTTCATCCACAAAACTAGTGCGGCAGATTGTATGGTCTAACTGAGCGTCACGGGTGTCGACTTACAAGTCCGGTCAATCAACAAGCAAGACAGAAAATTAAGCGCAGGTCGTTCACCATGGGTGTGTGAACGAAGAAAATCGGTACGTCCCCACAATCATCTGGGCATAGATTTGGTTGCTTACTTCAATTTACCACTTGGCTGAAAATCTTCCGTGACGCCAGAGGGCACGCATCTCTTTTAAATTGTGATGCTCCGTGGCAGTGTGCTTCTCAAGCAAAATATTTTAGCACCATTATTACCGTTTTTTCTGTCACCCAAGCGACCATCCATTTGCTTACCCTAAAGCATTGCTTTACACAGAAACATCCCGCAAGAATGTTTTCAAAATGGTCGCCCATTATATCCACTATCAGTTTTCACAAAGTTGGACTGTAACAAAACGTATCCAATTCTTTCATCAACACCTCCACCTCCTCTGTGTGGTCCACTAAATTTTTCAAGTAATTTTAACTAGGTGGCGTCGAACCCAAGCAACATGTCATGGAAAACAAACTCAACTCTCTCTGTCCGTTCAGTATCTTTTAATGGTGAGTGAGACCAACGTCGATAAGTTGTGTGTACAATCTAGATGACACACTAATAAGATGGTCATTTCCATCAGTCATCCTTCTAAGCATTAACTAATGCGCTCCGCCATCTTACTTATTGATTTATGCAATTCCACAATGAGGAAGTGCACGATACACCATAGTTTCCGGAGAGAGGAAAGTATGTCCAAAACATGTTTCAAAACGTTTAAATTGACATGCGCTTGGCCGTTACTTTATGAAATCCATCCACTTTTCTCAAAATTGGATCGACTGCTATGGTGGGACAACTTATAAATCCCGTAGATGAGTAAGTTTGAGGTTTATTTAGGTTGCTGCTAATATGAACCTTTCTCAACAACGGGAAATAAATGGGGGGGGGGGAATGTGAGAAAAAACTTATACCTAGTTTGTGATGCGCCGCACACAAACATTTGTGACTAAATTTAGCCTCCACAATAGGAAGGAGATCAGCGGTTCCTTTTCGTCTTCTCTCATATTGCATTAATTCGTTTCGTCCAATCACAAATATTTAGGTCAACTACACAACCGGTGTAATTTCCATTACTTCGGAACAGCTACATCACTTTAGAATATCTTGTCTGTCAGCCACACCTATTAGTCTGACCACTCAGTGATTACTGACACCTAAGTATTACTGTTTTTCGGGATCTATAAGTTGCGCTACCAGTCATTTTGATGGAGCGCTTTCCAAGTCTTTGTTTGTCATCTGATAATTGCCTGTTTTTTCACGCTCCTCTGTTGGCTTCCCACCAAATTCGGGTCCAATATCTGCTATGCAGTCTTGGTTCTAATGCGCTTACTATTAGGAGTATATTACACGCCTAAACTAATGTAATGTCCTGTTCAGTAAGGAGTCGGCAGCCCAAAGCCCTTTTCCCACAGATTTGCTTGAAGTTTTTTTCACCAAACAGTTACCAAACAACTACTTGTGTGCTACTATGTTTCGCAGATTTGTACCAACTGGAATAATGCAAACTAGAATTCAGAAATGATTGCTAGAATGGAGGGGCAGATTTCTGGAGAAATTTCAGATAACAAGATTATCGAACACACAGGGTTCTCTGGATACTAGGTAAGTTAAGGGATTAGGAACTCGAGAAGGACGATGACCCCGAAAAATCTGCGAAGTACCGGAGGCGTCAGGGACAGCTTGAGACAGTGTGTCGGAGATAACGAAGTGTGAATATTCATCAGCGTTCCCTCTGTAAATTAGGAACAAGTGTCTGATTACCAAACACCTTCGATTACTTCTAAAATTCCACTGCTCCTAAAGAACTGGTTCAGAGATCTCACCGTAATGCAGCACTTTTCCCTCGTGAGTCCGGGGAACAAAACAGGCGGAAATTAGTTTCAAGGATGCTGAGACATGAGGAAAAACAAATCAGCGTATAATTTTAAGAAAAACAGGTAATTTTTTAATCTGGCACCACAGAAAAATGAATGCCGAATTTTCATAAAAGTAGGTTCGATTTGGGGAGACCAGTCGAGGTTAGCGGATGTGGTGATGCGAAGTTGTTGCCTACTAAGGATTTCGAGCATTCGGGCATTATTAAACCTGGTAGCTTGGGTTCATCTAATAAGTTCCTAAATAAGGTAAACTAAAGTCATTGGAAGCTGTCGACCATCACATTTTTAGACTTTCCGAAGTAGAGACTCTCAGGGGATCACCACATCAGGTCACCAAGTGCATCTTCTAAACTTGTATGCTAATCACCACGTTTTTAGGGTACTCACCTTGGAAGAGAACACCATGCAGAGTATGCGACTTGAGTCCATAAGGCTCAGTGCATTCATTGGAAAACCCTTGTAACGAAATTCATCTGCCAACATCATTAAAATTAAGGGAAAACAGATGTGCACTTTTGGCCATCCTTAGTAGTGCTGAGGTAACCAAGTGAATTATATTCGAGACCGTGTTTTGGGTGGAGTGCGACTGTTGTTAGCGAAGCTCATGTAGGTCGGTGCTAGTTAAGTTGGGAGTTACATGGTCTGCCAGAAATATTCCGAACACCCACAAGAGCTTGAGTAGGTCCGAACTTTTGCGTCTCCTTTCAACGCCCGTATATTTTTCGTTATTTGCTAGCAGTTAGATATTCCTCTAAGTAAGAGACATCAATCGAACATGTCACACCCACTGGTGACATCACCACTTCCCTTTGGCAATGGCGTCAACAGGAGTACGGGTGTAAAAGAAACTGTTTTGAATTTTGATCTCTATTTTTTGGAGTCCGTGTGATTGTTGGCACTTGCAAGTAGACACATAGTCATTTATGTGAGAGGGTGACTAGGTATCTTTGGGGCACACTCACAGATAATGCCATCACACTCTTCAAGCAAAAGAAATGAAAGGAAACCCGGGCTACATGCTTTTCGAGCCTCTTTTTGAAAAGTTTTTCGTACACTACACAGCACATTATACTGTGGACAGTCATGATTTATGTCGAGCAGGATTGTTGCTTACTCGTTTGGAAAACGCTTGTGGTCATCGTAGTCATCCTATCTACCGATTATTCCCAAACCTTTCCGAGAACAATGATTTTTGTTTGTTACTCAAAAAATCATGGTTGTCATTTTCAAGGTTGGAATTATATGAACAAAAATTGGGTGCTTTGTCACAACTATAAGACGAGCTTTGATGTTGAGAAGCATGTTACCTAATGATTTATTCAGGCGATGGGTGCCACTCGTGATAAATCGCACCAGCATTTTTGTGGTTTTCTGCTCCTTGTTGTTGACGAAATTATTGGACCCTTTTGAAGCAACTGAACAACGAAGAGTGAGTTCTCGCAGTACGGAATATGTTCCAAAGCTAGCTGCATGTTCACATGAGACTGGAGGTTGTGGA